ATGCTACTCCGAGATTTTTTCCACATTTCAGTAACCGCTGAAGTTCTGAGGATGACACACATCACGCGGTGAGCACTGTCCCATGTTATCTGCTGCTGTGACGCCGTCACATGATCCCAGAACACACTGCGTGTGGGTCGCTGCTGAGCCCCTGCCCACCCCTGGGGCTACTGTGAAGACGAAACGGGTGACACGTGAAGGCCTCGGTGTCACAGACAGGTGAGGGGTCGCCGTATTAGGACGGACGCACCCACATGCTTAAAACTCCGCTACTGGGCAGGCTGAGCCAAGCCTGGCCATCTGTCCAGCAGTGCTTGCCCATGACAAACTGTGGTGCGGAGGCGTGCCACTTACACGTGACAAAGGTCAACAGTCCCTGCCCAGCCAGTGCTGATGTGTTAACTACCAGAATTCAAGCCCTGTGAAGCAAGGAAGCCCCCGGCTCGCCCCCAGGGGCCTGGCACACAGTAGGCGTCTAATAAGTATCTGCTGGAGAATGAACGAATGGACCAATGGAGAGATGTTATAGGTCTTTGAAATCTTTTCTTCACCGATTTTTAAATATGTGTTGATAAAGTAAATACACATACAAGGTACTGAAGGTCCCTGGAGTAACAGGCCCAGGGAACGAAGGCTAAGAAGCAGGACACGTTAGGGCTGGGGACTGGTCCTCCGACGCCCCGTGGCCGGAGGACTGCCCGGGACATACGAGACGGGGATTGGAACAAAGGGGGCCTCTGCTCCCCGGTCTCCAGGGAGTCTGAAGCGTAAAGAGGGGCGGCCTCGCGCGGTGCCAGGATGTGACGTCCCACCCGGTGAGCATCCGGCCTCCTCACCCCGCTCCCACCCGAGCCGCGTGGCCAAGAGTAGGACTCGGGGCTCCTTACGTCTCCTTTTTCCACATTTCAGTAACCGCTGAAGTTCTGAGCATGACACACATCACGCGGTGAGCATCGTCCCATGTTATCAGCTGCTGTGACGCCGTCGCCTGATCCCGGAACACACTGT